TTGTATTCAGAGGCGTCTGAATCTGTATTCGGTGGCAGCGGAGTGATAGCGACGGTTTCATCTCCATACTTCGGGAGCCATCTGTGGGAAGCTGTTAATAATTATACTTTTTACTTTTTCTCATCGGAGAGCCAATATGTGAGGGAGACACCTTCTTTCACCTTCCCCTTCTTCTCCAGGCTAATTACAACAGCTGTTGAGAATGTTGAACATCCTTGAGATGTACAGACCAGCATGCTTCTATTGCTATGTCTCCTGAATGTGGTACAGGTCTTGTTTAGGGTCAAACAACTATTTAAGAATACTACTTGGAGATAATCCTGGTGACATGCACTGTGGCTACTCAAACCCTGGTGATAAGCAATGCAGCTGAACCAGAGAACCAACCCATGTTGGCATCAGTTGCCCCGAGACACAAGAAGAAACAGACACGAAAGTCAGCTCATTTAGTAAAGGATGACAAAGCAGGGCCATTGCGAGATCAGGAGGAAGAGGCAGAACCAGAGATAACCACTTGATCCCTATCCCTGAGTGAGCTGTGAGATATGCAAAAAGATTTCAGTCATCGATTAGGCGAGCAACTTGTCACCCGGCTGCTCCAATGCTGGGATAGCTGGGCCAGTAGCCTGGAATTAGAGGGTAGGGAAGCCAAGCAGCTGGGATCCCTGTCCAGGGAAGGGGACACTGACGGGGTGGTCGGAAGACAGCCTCTGGAGGTGACTCTTGTCAGGCATGAGGGAAAGGTATCCCTTCAAAGAAGATGTTGTATGTCACCCAGGCAAGTGGACCACCATGGAGAGAGGTATCAAATATCTGAGGGAATTAGCTGTGCGGGAGGTGGTTTATTATGACCCGGACAATGTGCATGTACCCACAGATCCAGATGAAGTCCAATGCACATGACCCGTGTGGCGGAGGTTTGTACAGAGCGCACCACCAGCATATGCAAGTTCATTGGTAGTACTGGCCTAGAAGGATGAAGAGGGACCAATGGTGGATGAACTCTGACAATACGAAGAAAATCTCTCTTCCTCCCTACGGGCCTGTGTCCCAGCTGTGGAAAGACTGAAAAATCTGTAAACCTGTTTGAGAAACTGTCCCTGGAGGTCTGGCAACTTAAAGAGCATATGTCCAATTCCCCGCTTGTACAGACCAGTACCTAAGCTGTCAGGAGTGAGAGTTCCTCTGCTCAAGAGAGAGGATGTAGAGGGTGCACACCATGAGGCACCCTGTGGTTTTACCTGTGTGACCATGGAGAGGACACGAGGAAGTGGGATGGAAAACCTACTTCAACCCTAGATGCATGGGTATGTGAGTTGCAAGTCAAAACAATCTCAAATGGGGATTCTTCCAGGAAAATTGCTACTCTAGTCTTCAATGGGCAGTTCCCCAGACAGAGTAGGACTGATCTTACTTCTGATCTTATGGAAGGAGCTTCAGATTTGTATTTACAAGAAGTGAGTAACAATGATGGGATTTGAACCTGTGTGCGCCACACAAATCCATTCGTTGGTAATGAATACGATGACCAGGAGTGGGTGGAGGAAAGGGACAACCAGATTTACTGGACATGTGGATTCGATGGCCTGGAACATCAGAACCCCAGAAGTATAAGGCTCTAGTAGACACTGGTGCACAGTGTAGAGCCAATTGCATTTGTACATCACACTATTATTATTATTATTATTATTATCCTTTGTTATCCTATTAAACTATCTTTATCTCAACCCATGAGTTTTTTTCCATTTTCCTCCCCAACCCCTTGAGGGGTAGGGAGGGGTAAGCAAGCAGCTGCATGGTTCTTAGTAATCAGCTGGGGTTAAACCATGACACAGGGTTGAAAAAAAAAAAGTACTTGTTTCCTGAAAGTTCTACCTGTATTATCCACAACTATCTCTCAGCAAATTTATTGAATGAGTACCCAGCCAAGTGGATACATTCTGCATATGGGAAACTTTCATTTTCTCCTCCTACTTCTTTCCAAGGTTCTTATTGCCTTTTTTTTTTTTTTTTTTTTTGACTCAGGAAAGGTGTAATCTTTTAGGCTAGACTTCCATGCTGTTCCCCTCGGGCCACCAGTTACCACCACACTGACTCAGTTTTTCCAGAGGTAATGCCTCAAGCTAAATTTACTGTAAAGGGAGCCAGAGATCTGCCACGAGTCACATGCAGAAATTAACTTCAGGTACTACAGAAAAACTTGCAAAGCCAAAAGTAATAAGTGGCTGATTCCTGGAAAGGTTTGAGAACTAGTATGAAACAGTTCCTTTTCCTACAGAGCAATGTGTTTACTAAGGCAACCTTCACACTATGGAAAGGGTTTGGGGGTTTATTATTTGAAAAAAGAATAGTGACATTAATAATCAGCTAATTCATACAAATTCCTCTCCAGAATCAGCACCACCTGTAGGCTTGCCAGCCACTTTATTAAATTCTCTAAATCTCTTACCTAAGATATCTTCATTTTAATTACAAAGCCCATACTCAAATATGTTCAAAACAGTTAAAGTTGGGCACATGAATGATATATAAGTATTATGATATTTTTAGCATATTTTTCTCAACACTTGCACTATTCCCATGTTCCTCAAACCTGTGAGTCATATTAGAGGAAGGCTGCGGACTTAACAGATGACCTGTGGTTTTGCCTGTGCTCAGTAAAGTCAATCTGAACATGTACAGCCAATCTGACGTTTCCCAGAGTTGCTGGATTTATTGGATTTATTGTGTATGCCTAGAGTGATTGGACTGTCCAGAAGATACATTGCTTCCTGGAAACATCATGGATAATGCTCTCCAGTGCACTATGCACGCACCCACCCACACATGAGCTGCTGCCTGGAGTCCAGCAATGGAACACAACTGTTCTGCTGGTCAAAGGCAAAGCCAAGCCACCTCCTTTTGTATGGAGCGGACCAGGACTAACCTGGACACGTCTATACAGTGAGCCCAATACACCAACATAGAGCTTCAGGGCCAGGAGGCAGCCAGGAAACGGACACAGGACAGTCAAATCGTCATGTCAAACAGCAGATCATAACCTGACCACCTGCTTCCTGCATGCTATTCTTGTACAGCAAAAAGGAAGATAGGAAGGGAATACCTAGATAGAAGGGAAATTTTAGGTAGGAAGATACCCAGATAGGAAAGGAATTTTAAATACAATTTTCTTTAGGTAGTCTAACACAATTATCAAGAACTAAAATATCTAATTTAATTTAATGCTAATTTTGTTCAGTATTCACAAAATAGGCTTAGATTGTATTTTATGAGTGGATTGCTATGATTAAATCCTGTAAAAAAAAAAAAAAATCAGAATATTGTAATTGGCTGTGTAATATTTTACATACCAAGACAAACCTAATACTTTTCATAGCTCTGCAGGATATGAAATTAGATGCATACTTCAGTTTTTATTCCTACAGTTCAATGCTTTTTAACAAATTATTTTCGTAAGGATTTCTTAAGGCTTTGTAGTTTAGGACTGCAATCTGCTTGCTATCCACGGGGAGTATTACCAGAGATTATCAGTACTTAAACCGATGAAGAAGATATGTCATGTCTTTTTTACATCTGTATAAAGGCACAACTTCAACAGATTGGCTGCAAAGGACATAATAATTTGATAGAGATCCTTTCTGTGGGTTTTTTTTAAGGTATACTAGTTCTGCCATTAAAAGTCATATGCTTCCATGAATCCTCAACACACTAAGTGGAGTGGAAGCCTTTAAGTCTTGTAATGCTGGAAAGCAGCAAATCCTCAGACGCTCATGGATCTTGTCTAGCAAAAACTTTTCTATGCTTTTTGTGAATCCTATAATATGTTTTTTTAAACTGAACAAACAAATGTTCAATTGCACATACATGCAAATACAGATGGCAATATGTGTGACTGGGTTTTCCAGTGCACCGTAATAGACAGAAGGTGACAAAATTAGGAGCACCTGCTTCAGAAAGGACCTTAGGATTTCTATGAAAAGACTTACTGGAATTACAAGCATTCTTATTTGGAATTTTGGTATTGTATCAAGGATATCAAAAAGGTGTAGCAGGAGGGAACATTAACACTATTTGTCTTTCTCTTTTATATGCATGCATGTGTTTTCTTTAGCAATGAGTGTTTTTTTCCTTATCGATTTTCTTTTGTTTGCTTAAGACCTCCTGACTAATTCCTACAAAACCACAGCTAATGGTAAATAGAAATGTCATGACTGCAGGATGTACCACAGCAGGATTTTGCAGCTTTGCTTCTTACCCAGTTGTTAGCAGGATGGATCCAGCTCTAGGTTCAGTATTACTCTGTTCTTGCTCTAGACCCCAACCACATGGCAAATGTTCCTAACAACTTCTTGCCTTGCCCATCAGATCTGGAAGCTCTTTCACACAGGAAACCTATTCATTTTTGAATCATTCAGTAACACCATAAACCTAAATGATGCCCTGGCTTACAGGATGAAAAGCTGTTTCATGCCTTTTAAAAAACAAATGACAAAAGTATCTCTATATATTGAAAGAGCTGATCTTGGGATTTTCTCCAATGACTTTTTACTGATCTGTTGAGCTCTTTTGTGCTCTCCTACAAAGGTTTGATTTCACAACCCCACAGGAATAAGGAATTATTTAAATAGGCAATGCTGGTCCAAATCTCTGTTAAGCAGGCATTGTCAACTGTATTAGAAGTAGCTTAATTACATTTGGCAGTTTTGTGAGGGAGAGCATTATGTCCTGCATTACTGTCTCTAAGAGTACACATATCACTAAGGACCTCCAAGTAGATTGAAACTATGCTCTTAGAAGGAAAATGTTGAGCCATCATGGCTCCATAATTATAAATTGCAGCCTTTGAAACCTGGTCTTCTTCAGAAACTGTGAAATGCAGCTTAAGCAGTACTATTATGTTTTGTTAGCCTTGTTTTTTCTCATATTTTCATGAGTCACCCAGGTCAATTCAGTCTATGACATTTGTAGCAAAACGGAAACAAAAGCTTGAGTCGCTTTACCAAAGACAGTCAGCTCTGCTGGGTCGCTGTCTCGCTCCCCCACCATGTTGGTTCCAACACAAGTGTACATGCCGGCATCACTTTTTCTTGTATTGGAGATCATCAGCTTCCCACCACGTATCTGTTTCAAAACAAGGAATATATTTTTATCTTCAGATAAACAAAAGCTATCAGATAAAAAGCTACATTCTCAGGCAGCAAGTTCCATAATTGAGGCATTTAAAAGTTTTGTTATGTAAATATATATATAGCTTTAAAATTATAATCCTAGATGCTTAAATATCTTTAAGCTGTTCTAGAACACATTTTGTCCTACTGAGTGTTTTTAACTGCATTTCAGGGTTTTTTTCTTCAATTTTCATTAGATGCTTTACATTTCAAAGATTACATTTTTTCCTGCCTCTTTGGCAATGCAGAGTGCTTGTATTTCTTGCATGATGATATGTAAAGCACTCGACACCTCTCTCAAGAAAAAGGCAATTTTACTTAGTTTTATTTAGTTCATTTTATTTTACTGATGTCTGAACAGTTTCCTTGTTCACTGATTAAGACAGATTTTCTCTTTTCCTTGATGCAAACAGACTGAATCTAGCCCAAACTGAGAATTCACCTGACTTCCATAAGACTTAACATTTTCCTGGCTACAAAGCATGCTTATAGAGTGAAAGAGAGGGGTAGTTGAAAGAAATAAAGTAAAAAAATTCACAGTGTCAAGTCAGGCAACGAGGTGCTTCAGAATAAGCTAGGAATATAGCCAAATAAACTAGAGAGTCAGGGAATGATAACCAGTTCCCTGCCACTCTTCCTTCCTCTACTTTTGAGTAGACCCTAGCAAAGACAACCTGGCCCACAAATAGCAACTAAGATTGCAGCTTGAAATACTTCCTTAGGCATTCAAAGAAACAAACAAGCTTCCTAATAGTACTTCCATATTGAATAAGGTCAGCACTGAATGAGTTATATATCATTACATACAACATATAATTTTACTAAAGGAATATTAATAGTGAAAAGCTAAGCATTTAAAAATTAGGAATGAAATATGTCCCCACACCTTTAATTTATCCCATTTGCTTGCATATACCATGACATAATTTCTAATCACTTTAAGTTAGGTATTTCTGCTGGATCCTTTCCATTCAGTACATGGAATCAGCTGTCACAGAATTCAACCAGTGTTACTCATTTACTCAATATATATTCCTATTCAGGAACAATCAACTCTTTAGAGTATAACTTCAGACTTCATTTAGAATACACATCCAAATTACTACACTAAATACAACGTTACCAATATCATCCTAAGCCGCTGTTTTTTTTTCTCACGGAGTACTTGTGTACCTCATAGATGTGACTGATTTTATCTTTAAACCAACCCTCTGATATGAGGTCTGATATTCTCATTTCACTGAAGTCAGATTTCATTTCAGTGAACTGAGATCTAGAAATGGTAAGGCCAAATTGGTCAAAGACATGCACTGAGTCCCCCATATAACAGAGCACCTTACATGACCAAATCTACAGCTCTAATGGACCTCTGTTACACTGATTATACAAATCAAGCCTCAAGAAGTTCATGTTGGAGACCCAAACCAGAAGGAATAAACAACATTCCCCCCTTCATTTGGGAAAGCTCAGAGAGGTAAACTGCCACGAGTAATGATGAGTATCTATGGGAAAGGCTATAAAGGTGTCAAGTTCTGCTGCACTAAGCTGTGGGGCTTCAGTGCAGGCCCTGTGCCTATAGACAACCACCTGAGTTGTACTCACACTGATTCGCTCTTCCTTGTCATCAATACGGACTTTATCTTTCTTCCAGAAGATAGTAGGCTCAGGGTGTCCGCGAGGTGGCTGGCACTCCAATATGGCAGGCTCTCCAGCTGCTACCACAACATCTGTAGGGTTTTGGCGGAAGTCATCCCGTAGCACTAATGCAATAAATGAGGGAAAGAAGAAAAAAAATTACCAGAAGCAATGATATTGTAAGTGGGAAGAAAAAAAATATATGCAGACACATAAATATTAAACAAACAAACAAACAAGTCTCAACCATTATTAGGTGATGACTTTGCATCTTATATTTACTATAAAAGATCTCATAAAGGAAGTTGGTAGGATGTGACCTTTTGTCCAATGGAGGCAGATTTCACATATGTGCGGGCTTTTTCCTTGTTTTTTCTCCAGATAAAAACATTGCTCTGCATTTAAATAAGAAAGACCTGTAGCATGCATTACTCTCTTTAACCTTGACAGGGTCACTTCCCATCCTTGCAAAAGTAACATTGCTGGTCTGATGTTGAGTTCTTTTCATAACAGAAAACAACATGCTGAATATCTGGCTTGCCTGGATCTCCAACTTCAGCATAAGCTAGGTAAAGAAGTGACACAACAGATACTGAATTGCAGAGTTACACCTTGATTAAGGGTATTGTTATTACTGTTATTATTGTTATCACCAAATACATGCCGAAGTGATCACCAGTTCTGATAGGTGTCAGAGAAATCAAGCTGATGGTAGTGTGCTTCCAGCATATTTATTTCTTCCTTTTATTTTTTTTTAGTTTTAATATTGCTGCAACTTTGACCAGTGCTGTCCCACGACATTGAAAGGAAAGAGCATTTAAATCACCAAGCTGTTTGAGAACTAAATTAGGCAACACAGGACAGCTTCTAATGTAAGTCAAGCTTCTATAAAGAAGGATTAGGTCCAACTAGCTGGCTTCAGTGTGTTAAAATGATATCCACTTCATCGTTATTCTTCCATGTGTGTCCTAGTCTCTAGGTTAATTGACATTCTTATAAACATAAAACTGAAAATAGCTCTAGATGAGCTACTGAAATAGAATTTAGGGCATTTCCCCTCCCTGAATTTCAGCTACGTTTGGCTTTCATTACAGCTTTAAAACAGTTCTCGCCCTTAATGGAACCAGGGCCCTCTGAGAAATTAGAAAACACTGTATCCTAGTGAAGGGGCAAGTCAGGAAGAGTTCAGCAGAAATTGCTCAGTCTCATTTCATAAGCAGAGATAATTTACTGCTTTCAATGTTAATAAAACGTGCCCCATTTTAACATTTGGAACCAAATATTTTTCTATTCTGTGATAAGCCAGAAGAAAATATGATTAATACATACAAGAATGGGTCTCTGAATGGGCTAAGGTGAGAAGGCTGTATATATGTGGCACTCAAAACGACATATGAGGTAACTTTCATTCCCCATTTTGGGATAGACAGGTAGATCCCAGAGGAAGGAGGGAATTAATTGGAAGTTAATTCCTTTTCTAACACAAAAAAGAGTGATTATTTAGGTCTTGCTCTTGAAGCATAATATAAAAGTGACAGGATGTAGTTCGCAACAAATGCAGCTCTGGCAAGAACCCACAGTCTTCCTAGGTGACACACCCAATTGATACATTTTTTCCCAACAGATAACAAAATAGTCAAGCTTAAATATATTTCTGATTAATACAAATCACTCATAGACTTTTGATTCACAACAATCAAATGGACAGAAACGGAATTTGTAGAGCTTCAAGATCAAATGGAAGGAATGACTTATGCAATGCACAACACAGAAACAGTATGTTGAAGATCATGGGCTGCTGACTACTTGGCATTACAATTTGAAAAGCCAAGAAAGCTAAATCCACAGCAATTTCAGAGAAAGAACCAGAAAAAAAAAGTGTTACAAAAGCACCTATTTTAGGAAGCGTCTTCATGTGTTTCTGTCATTACTATGATACACAGGAAGAAAAAATACTTCTACGCAATGCCATGCCCTCTTTCATATAACTGGCAAATGGATAAACATCAACTTCTTCCATTATTATTATACATAAAATAAATATTAAGTTTTATTGGCTTGATTTTTTGTACAATTACAGAACTTCAGTGCAAATCCTTTAGTGGAAAATCCCTAGAAAATCAGCAGATCCCACAACATAATGACTTTATACTCCTGACTCCTAACTCCTGGCAGCAATATTAAGGAAAGCATTTTCCTTGAACATTTCACACTGCTATATGAAGCTGACAAATACAGTTTCTTGGGGTGATACACAGTAAATTACATTAACTTTCTCTGAATCATTCTAGCAACTGTGTAAGGTTCCAATCAGCTTCAGAATATGAGGCTAAGAGGTGATTTGATTTTATCACATTCCTTTACCCAAGTCTTACTGCAAATCTGGCTTGAATGGAAGACAAAATTGATGCTACGGGGTTTACTTAATCTTACTCTGTACCTCTGCACATATGTGAATCTTGAATAGATGTATCTCACCATTTCCATCTAAAGCATTCTGTGTTTTGGAGAAAAACAAAAAATGGTTGGACAAAAATGAAATAGGGAAAAAATAAAGCAGGGACAGAAAGACAAAGATAAGAGAAAAATGTGTGGAATATAAATTAAAGAGAGAAAACAACTCAGAAAAGGAAGAGGGAGAACACTGTAAATTTACAGAGAGTGAAAACAAAAAGCCAGGTAAAGGACAAAAAAGAGTAAGAATAAAAGCAGAGGGAAAAACAAGGTAAAGAGCAGAGGGCACAGGCTGCCATTCCTGTGATTCAGTGCTTTTAATGTAGTGTAACAACGACAATACAATGCTCAGACGTTAATCTGATCAGCATGGCCATCCCAGCACATCCAAACACTGCCCCGAGAGAGCAGGATGTGGGCAGAGGAACGGCACGTGCAGAGAAGATCAGAGCGCGAGGTGGCCAGCTCCGCTGCCCCGCTCCAGCCGCACAGAGAGCCACAGAAGAAAGGAACGTCAACTGGAAGTTGTGTTCACACTTATTAGCACAGTAAATGGAAAAGTTGCAGCACAGCTTAGTGCATTCACCATATCTAATGGCACAATCATCTGTGAAAACAGAAAAATGGTTGAGAGCTGCAGAATATTCCTCAGCCAATTATCCACAATTGCTGAGTACTTCCAAATAACTATTAGTGTGCCTGAGCAGATCACCCTCTCCACACACTGGCAAGAGGCTTTTGTTCACTTGAGAAGCCAGCCCCCCTCCGGGCCCTCTTTGGCAGGGCACAAATACTTGCTTTTTAAAAATTCAACACAAGCGCTGAAATGTTGCCACCAGGCTCCGCTTCCTCATCCCGTGTTCTTGCTTTGCTTTATTCCAATTTTAATGTAAGTTCCATAGCTCCCTTTGTGCTAGCACAGGTGTTACCCTACCGTTAACAAGGGATGCCAAAGAGAAAGGTGGCCAGCACCCCGCCCTGCCGGCCCACGCTGGGGCCGCGGTGCAGCTGTCTCCTGGGAGAGCCAGACCCCGGAGGCTGCCGCCCAGGCCCAGTGGCAGCGACGGCGACGCAGAGGGGCCTGACGGCAGCGCAAACACCCTCGTGTTTCGAGAGGCAAAGCCTCAGAAGGGCAAAAGCTTCTGGATGGCTACACCTCGCTGTCCAGAAAGGCACAGGGGGACAGGAGAGCTGGAAAGGGCAGCTAAATCATACACACAGGCTACAATAGTGCTGTGGACAAAAGTTAATTAAAGTTTAACCGGTCTCTTTGTGGCTCGAACAACCCAATGCTGCTCAAACAAGACAGATGTCCATGAGCTGCCAGGTCGGTCTGTACGACACGCAGAGTCCTGCGTGGCTGTGTACGGGCACCCGCGAGCATAAGGGCGGGAAGCAAGCGCACCCAGCGAGGGCAGCGCTGCCCTGAGCAGGCACAGGCTGCCCGCCCGCCCGCGGGAGCGAGGCAGAGAAAAGAAAGAAGTCCCCGCTACCAAGGCAACTGCTTACCAGCACCTGCCAGCTTAGGCCCAAATCCAGGCCTCGGTCAAACTGATGCTCATAAACTCAGGGAATTACTTGGAAACTGAATTAATTTCCTCGACTGAGGCTCCGGCGATTTGTTTAAAGGAAGCAGAGATAAAACCACCGCGTTTATGGGGTAGGAGGGAAGGTGGCAGGGTCAAAATTATTCTAGGCTAGATATCCATGCCTTAATCCTGCTTTCCACTACAACAGCTTTCAGGCCCTTAGAAAGAAAACATTTTTATAGGATTTACATTTACATGATGATTACAAATAACCATCTGTCTGCTTCCACTTTTTCAATCTGGTCCATGTCCCACGAGCCCCCAGCCTGTGGTCAGAGCAGCTAAGCTGGAAGGAAGAAGCGGATGCCCGTCAGGAGGCTTTGGGATAATTGCATTCTTCTCCCACCAGCGCTCGGCTCTCCACCTCCTCCCCCCGGCATGCACGGCGAACATCTGAGATTACCGGGGATGGGAGGGAGGAAAAGACTATCTTTTTTGCCTTTTTCAATGAATGATAATGTCTTAAAACACAGCTACATCTGTCATGCTGACTAGAGGGTATAAAGAGATATCCAGTAAATATTAATGTGCTTCTGTAGCTTGGGTCCTGGTAGTTTATCTTCCCCCTCCTATTCTGTGTTGTGCTTATCTCAGGATAATATTATTTTCATATAAAGATTTTACACAGCCACATTGGTGGCAGGTTGGTCACTGCCACACACAGGTAGGTCTCCTCTAATCCCAGGCACTGTCCCACAGGCCTAAATCCCCATCTCTCCACCACTGTTTTGGCACTTCTCTCCTCCAATACATACTGATACAATCAACAGGAATTATTATGTCAAATAACTGCCCAGATGTCACGCAGTGGACAGATAAAAGGATTATTATACTTTAGGCAGTGTATGGTGCAGGGGGGTATTTTAGAACTTGGTTAATGTGTATGATCTACTGAAATGGTCCCTGAGCAAGCTGGCACTACCTGCTGAAACAGAGTGACAGAAAAAACAAGGGGTCACAAACAACCTTCCTTGTGAAGAATAATAATACACTTTCTTTTAGGATGCTGTTGCCCTACCTCAGCAAGGACTTCTGTCACATTTCATAAGGAAAATTAAAAAAAAAATAAAAAAAAATCACAACCTAGGCAATAGTCCTAAGCAAGACTCCCAGTGAGTTCCCGAGCTCCCTCTGCGTGTGCACAGCCTGGGAAAAGCTGCCATCTTTTTTTAAAAAAAGATGATAAGGAACTAGACACTTTTTTCCTCCTGTTGTTTTTCCCATCCTTCACCTATCTCGTTATACAGATATTGCCTAGGAGACATGAACACTAGCTTATTTACCATGACTCAAAATATTCAGACTTTACTTTAAAATGAGGCCCCAAACCTGTGAGATTCATTTTTGGAGGTGTTAGGGTATTTTCAAAGAGTCCAGTAGCTTCAACAATGTTTGATTAGTAGGGTCCCTTGAAATCAAA